ACTTTCTTCATCCTGAATTTTTCTAGCCAGATTTTTCAAAGAAAGAATTACAGTTGCTGTAGACACAAACCCAGGTTGTTTTTGGAAATGGGTACCTAGCAGTTCAGTCTGAGTGCAGAATAATCTGCGTAGCTTGGTAGAGATTTTTGTTCAAATGAAAAACATTGCTTTCATAATGTGCGGCATCAATTCCAATTGAAAGCTTAATATAGTCCTCTGCTAAAAATATTTCACACCAATGGGGTCATCCAGATGCCAGTGCATGATGATAAAAGGATTTTGATTTACTGTAAGCTTGGCCTTTACTGCAAATCCAAGCAGCTTTGATACTGACACACTGCAACAGCAAACAAGAATAATGGTGGTGTTCTCTTGTAGAAGTAGGACAGACCATTGCATTAATATCTGATCATGTCTGAATTCCAATCAGTGCCTTCTGCCTTTGGAAGCTGTGAAGGTGACGACCCTGCCATCTTGTTTTGCTCTGTATTGTTTTAACTTCTCATTTAGTCTAAGAGAAACAACTTAAGTCTAAAAATCATTTTATGTAAATTTCAGCAACCGAGGCTAGATTTTTCACCTTTATATTAAAAAAATCTCCCCCAATTTGGGGATGTGTGTGAATTAGTCTAAAATCCAAGGCTATTGTAGTACAATCCTGGCTCTCTCTTGTGCAGATGCTACCAATCATGATAAATATAATAAATTAGTTATGTGGACAAAAGGAGAGTAGAATATGAGCCCCAAATTCATTTGCTATAGTTAAGCAAATATTTCTTAATTGTGGAAATGCAGGTTAATTTCCTCTGTTTGAGAAACATTTTCAAACAAATGCATCAACTGCTGTAACCTTAACCCCCCTGAATTGAAGAATTTATGCTGTCTTGGCTATTCAGGAGACAGCAGTTACTATGACAGTAGACTAGACTGGCACGCTGTAGCATTTTTTGATAATGCATTTAAAACTCTCTAAAATCTTACATGCGTGCAGGAGGATGCCATAGTTATTGTGAACCTACACTACTCTGTATCAGTAGCTGTGCCTTTCCTGCCACACAGATAGTGACTGCATATAGTTCTCATAACCTCCTCCTAAACACTTCACAAGATAATATAATACAAATATAGCCATTGACATTTCCACTAGGGGAAGGAAAGCAATTTTACCGTCTAAACAATATGCACCATTCCTTGTGTTCACATTAGAAAAAATTACTACTCTCAAGTTAGGGTTAAGGTTGTTTTAAAATACTTTACATTACTATCCCGTGTATTGAGAGCTGTTGCCTCCTTTGCTGTTGATGCTTACAGAATTTCTGTGCTTGCAGATCCCTTCACCTTGGTAATCTTTACTATGCAGTATAGTCTTTTCTACTATACATGTATGTGCATATTGTATTCCATGTATCGAGTTGCTCCCCCAAAGCTGTAGTTGACACTAAACTAAAAATAACTTGCTCACTTCACCAAAACTGCAGAAATTTGGAATGAGTCTAAAGGGGTCATTTCAGAGGAACAAATGGCAATTGGATACCTAAATCTCATCAGCCATCAAAGACAATGAAATGCTTTTATACCATGCTCTTATATTTCTGAAAATTTCTCCCTGAATCTTGCTGTGGCCAGCTTTCACCCATTCTGCTTGTCATTAGTCATTGTAATTAATCAGGGTTTCGGGGTTCGTCCCAATGGGTTCCTCCTGACAGCTCCTCTTCTCCATCAATGATGATAAACTTTTGGCTGCGTGCATGCATGAGTTTGCTCCCCTGTCTAGCATGTTAACCATGCACAATTAACATGACAGACTCCAGAAAGAGCCCCCAGAGACCACAAATCAACTAAGGATCAAAATCATTCAGGCAGGTTTATTGCCAAACAACATACACATACACTAATAGTTGTCAACGAACAGAGTGGCCGCTGCACCCCTACACCTTACGTAAGCTGTGGCAAGTGCCAATACCCATTAAGTGCCA